GCTTGTATAGCAATCACTCTACTGCTGAACCAGTTCACTGGCTCTACGTGGTGTTTTTTTTTTTTTTTTTTTTTTTTTTTTTTTATATTTCATCGTGTATAAAGTCACTCCCAATTTCGTAACTTAATACACAGTCACTTATGTATTTACTATTCTTCATATTCATCTACAGGGATAGCTGATCACCTCTCTCCCATGGGGCAAAAAGCTGGATTCATCTGGGAACGTTGCTGGGGCTGACACCCGTGATGGCCTCTTCCTCTCCAGGGTCACAGGATGTCTCCCCATGCAGTAGTCTATCAGAATGTCTATTGTGGCGGTCGGATCCCAAAGAAGGTAATGGAGGGAGCTGGTGCCTGTAGGTCCGGCAGCATCAGAACTGTGTTGGTTCTGTCGCAATCTTTTGATGAAGGCAGGCCAAAGTGCCAGAGCAGCTGGCAGGGGAGAAGGTGAAGCTCCTTACCGTGGGATGAGCAGCATGAATCTTCAAAAGGAACCAGATAGATTGGCGGTGACATCGGAACCTGAGCAGGGTTATTTAGAAGTGTGCTGTATTGCTGGGTGTAGCTTGGTGGTTGAATGCTTGCCTAGCCCATGTGAGGCCTTGGGTGTATACAACAAATGCTTACGGTGAATAAATGACCCCTTTCAACAGAAAGGTACACAATGACTATGTGATTGACCTTGAGTATGACATCAGTCTCCTAAAGTTAAGGTGGAACCACACAAGGCACTAGGATCTTGAGCCCCAGGACAGCCTGGGCATCCCAACAAATTCCAGACCAGTCTAGGCTACTAATGATACTCTGTCCCCCCAAACCAAAAAGTAACGTTAGAACAGTGATTGAAAGTGATCTCTTCCTCTCCCGCTCCTGCCCAGCAGTCTCGGGGAGAAAATTCTTCACGTCTGAGTTCTGAATTGTGGCTACCAGCAAGCACCAGTGACTACTCCTCCCTAAGTGTCCTTGTTCTCCTTGGATGGAGCATTCTGACTTTATGTACAGAGAGGTCATGAGGAAAGCCTCTGTCTCCTTCCAGGGTGTCAGCCTTTCCATGCTAGGGGTGCTGACCTTGCCGGAGTACCTGCCTTTCTTAGGACTATTTGCCTGCATGCCTGGCAGCCAGGGCCTCACCTTGGGGGGAGGGGCGGCATTTTACCTGCAGGTGAGATGATTCCATGGCAATTAAAATAATAGCTCCGTGTATCTCATAGACCAGAAATGAGGAAGTCCCAAAGGGCATTGAGAAGCTGATCAGTATCCGGCCCAAGGTTCATGAAAATCACTGCCATGTGGTACAGAAGACGGACCCAAACAGGAAGACGTTCAGGCCAGGGTGTGCCAGGCACAGGGTGAGATGGAAATTACTGTGGGATTATAGCCTGTTATTTTGGGGGACACATTGTTTTTTAAAATGAGGACATCCTTGTTCTGTCATTGTGTTTAGTACATTTTTGAAATCCTGTTCTGGTCAGCTGTGCTCAAAGGAAGCAAAAAGAGGTTTTTGTCCAGCTCGGGCCAGAGATTTAAAGGGGAAGCAGACACAGAAGAAATAGTAAAAAAAAAAAAAAAAAAAAAAAAAAAAAGCTTAATTGGGAAGGTAAACTGAGGACAAATGGACTGGGATCCCCTTGTATGGACCCTGAACTATGTCTCACATCTGTCTGTCTCTCTTTCTCTCTCTCTAATCTATCTATCTAGCTATCTATCTTTCTAGCCTATTACTCTTGCAGTGGCTCAGACAAAGACAGGAAGGGACCTCAAGTGCCTGACATTGTGGTGCACATCTGTGATCCTAACACTGGGAAACTGAGGCAAGAAGATCCTGAGTCCGAGACCGGCTTGGACTACACAATGAGATCACCTGAAACCACAAACAAGCGAAGCGAGATGGACTTTAATGTGCTGGGCATGGTGGCTCACACCTGTAATCCCAGCACCCAGGAGACCAAGATGGGGCAGGGCGGGGGCGGGGGAGGGGAGGGGAGAGAGGGTGGTTGCAGTGAATTCAAAGCCACCAATTGACATGCCAACATGGATGGGGGAAATCACACAAGCTCCTACCCCTAGATGAAGATCTAGAGGCAATTAATGACCCATGAGAGGGGGAGAATCAGTCTTCCCCAGGGACGAAGCCACTAACTGGTTATCCAAATTAAACAAAAACAAACATGTACATATAAGCAAGACTAAATGGACTCAGCAGGCTGCATTTATATAGTTATTCACATCTATACAATAGTAATTCAAAAGGCCATTATGCGGGTCAGGGCACAGGAGGGGCTGAGGGAGGAGACTGAGAGAAATGATTTAGCATGGCACACATATACGAAACTGAAGAAGGAGCTGTCCTGGAATTAGGGGTCAGGGCTGGAATGACTGGTAGTTGTCTCTGGAGTTTGTGATCCAGGATGAACCAGCCAATAGAATCTGATTTAGAAAGGAGAGGCGGGAATAGGAGTCGAGTGAACATGAGCCTGTGGGTGATGTGATAAGCACTGAAGACTACTTAGAAAAGCCAACTTTTTCCTAGTTAGGAAAGAAAGAACACAGAGTTTGCAGCAAAACCCCCACCCATGCCTGAGAAGGGGGAAGGAGAACTGGGGGCCTGGCATGTCCCCTTAAACAAACTGGGACACAGAGCAGAGCAGTATGTGGGTGGAGGCAGGAGATTCCAAAGTTCAAGGTCATCCTCCTACATATCGAGTTCCAGGCCATCCTGGAATCCATGAGACTGTCTCAAAAGTTTAGACAGCAGGAATCGGAAGCAGCTGTTTGAAGATGCAGTCATTTCTACTATGTCCTTCTGATCTAACAAATCACTGTGTCTGCCACAAATCAAAAGGAGAAGAGTCAGTTCCTCTCAATGGAAGTGGTAAAGAATGTGTCGCCATTCTTATGACATCACGCCATCTCACCAAGTCCTAGCAAAGCCTCTTGATTCCTGTCTCCTGATCCTCAGTAGTCACAGAGTAGAAACAGGGAGGGCTTGGGAAGCCAAGCGCCCTGCATCTTACATCAGTGAAGAGCTGCTGCCATTCAGCAACTGGCTGGACCTGTAAAGTGATTCAGTGTTCCCCAGAATCCTTAGCAGATTGGTTCTGGGGCTTCTGCAGATGTCCAGATCCCTTAATAGACAATGACATAGTAGGACTAGGGGACATAACTACAGAAGGCAGAGTGTTTCTAGCATGCAAGAAACCCTGGGTTCGATCCCCAGCACATCAAAACCAGAAAGAGCGAGCACCAGTACTTGTAAGCACTTGACAGGTAGAGGCAAGAAGATTAGTTCATCATCCTCCAAGATTGAGGCCGGGCTGGGATGCACGAAACCCTTCCTTAAAATTGAAAAAAAAAATAGACAAAAGAAACCAGTTTGTTGTGTGTGCATAAAACCTACACACAACTTTCCTTCTGCCTCAGTTTTTAGATAGATCACTAACAATCCTTAATACAAAGTAATGCTGTAGAAATAGTCACGCTATTGTTTAGGGAACTGTGACAAGAAAAGAAATCTGTGCAGGTGCAAAGGTCCTGAGTGTGACTGCCCTGCCTAGTACATCGGCAACAGTGTAACTTTTGAATTCTTTTCTTTCACCCCTTCTTTTGTTTGCTTCCTTTTCGTTTGTTTTCTTTCCTCTTTTGGGACAAGGTCTCCCTACACAGTGCAGCCTGGCCTCCAGTACCGTGCTCATTTGAACGTTTTCCATCCTGGTGAGTCGAATCCTTAATGAAAAAGGGAATGGACTGGTCAAAAAAAAAAAAAAAAAAAAAAAAAAAAGTCCTCCCAGATCTTCCCTGCAGATGGCATTAGTGACTGATGATGGTCTCAGCTGCTGAGCACTACTGAAATCTATCCCATGGTGTTTAGCCCCCGGTTGGTAAAGACCTTCTTCTCAAGGTTGCTCCCAGTCAGCTGACTAAGCACAGAAGGGATGTCAGGCCTGCATCTGTGATGTGTCAGAATTTTGGGACATGCCAATTTGGCTCAAGGACTACCAAGGCTTTGCCAAACTTGCAGTGTAGTGCCAGGCACTTCTTTTCACCCAGCCTTCCCTGCTTGCCTGTTCCTATCACCGAAAATCACACCTGTATCCCAGTTCCGGTTCCCCTTATAAACCTGTACAGCATTTCTCTCTGGCATGACTCTGAAGAACTGGGATAGCTAGCCGCTTCATAATAGGGGCTCCTGTGGGGATTAGTGTGTGTGTGTGTGTGTGTGTGTGTGTGTGTGTGTGTGTGTGTGTGTGTACTAATAAAGGCTGGGCATGGGACTAACCCTCATTCAACTAACATTTACTGAGCTCTTGCTGTGTGCATGCCCTGGCCTGGGTACCTGGGCATAATGGTGAGCAGAGCAGGCAATAAACATCCGTTGAACTTGCTTCTCTGCTAACAACACCCTTCGTCAGGACACAGAGAGCGTCTCAAATCTGTTCTCCGAATACGTGGCGTCACATACATTACACACTTGAGCCCACTCAGAAGGAAAGTCCTTGTTTTTCAGGTTTTGCTTTCACTCCTACTGGTCTTGCCCTAGGTCCGTGAAACGCCTCCTCCCTTTCTTGGGGACACACACTCATATATTCCTGGAGACCCAGTTCAACCCATCGAGGCAAATGTCGCTGCTGCCGCCACATATCAACATGCACCTTGCAAAAGCACTCGTTACACTCTGCTAAAATCTTCCAACGAACCCCGGAGCTCCCCTGGAGCCAGGGAAACAGAACGTCCATCCCGAGTTCCCCAGGCTTGGCCCACAGTAGGCCCTCTGCCCGGACCGGCCCGATAAAGAAAGCGGATGAGCGAATCGGGAAGGGCGATTCAGTTCCCGGGATGACCGCGCCGCCTGCAGGGAGAGGATGCAGACGCTACGCCCGCCGAATCGCTGAAGCCGCTACAGGGCACATGACTGGCGGCCTCCGCCCCGCCCCGCCCGCTTCCCCAGCGCAGTCGCCCGCCGCCTCTGCCGCCGCCGCTGCCACCGCCGCCGCCGCCGCGGGTTGCTGGCGAGCCACACCGGCCCGCGTCACCGCTCTGCGCGCTCCCTGCACCTCCCCGGCTGCTTCAGCCCAAGAAAACGAAACCCAGGAGGCCCCGGCACCCGCGATCGCGCCGACTTGGTGCTGCGAGGGCCGTGCTCGCCCCGCGCTCGCCCTGCGCGGACTCCAGAGCTGTGCGCACCGCGCGGGCGGCGGCTGAACCGGCACCGGGCGGGCGCGGGAGCCGTAAGGCCCCGGGGCTTCGGGCGCCTGCTGCGCGGCCTCGGCGGCGTTGGCCCTTTCCCGCTCGCAGTTGGGTCGCGGGCCCGGCCCGTGAGCCGCGCGCAGTATGGGCAGATGCTGCTTCTACACGGCGGGGACCCTGTCCCTGCTGCTGCTGGTGACCAGTGTCACGCTGCTGGTGGCTCGAGTCTTCCAGAAGGCGGTAGACCAGACGATCGAAAAGGTGAGGCGGGCTAGGCGTGTGCTTTTGTGTGTGTGTGTGTGTGTGTGTGTGTGTGTGTGTGTGTGTTCGCGCACGCGTGCCTTTCCAAGCCATCCTCCCACTGCGGACTCTGTGTGGAGAGAGTCGCGCTGGCGCCGACCCTGCAGCACACAGCCCTTGTTTGCCCCTGTATCCCGGGCTTGGCAGGATAGGGAGGCTTGAGGTGACTGTTCCCGTTAAATAACCTGTAAGTCTACAGGATTTGACTTTTAAGAAAGCCTTGTGTTTACGTTCTATCGTTTGCATTTCTCTCCACCCCTCTGCGCACCCAGTCTATGCTGAGCCCTGTTTTCCTCCCACTTCACTAAGAAATAGAAATGCATAAAAGCACCGCAGAAGAGGCAGGTTTTGTTGGCTGCCAGCCCGGCCTTTGAAGCGGAGTGGGGCTGAGGATGAGAAATGGGTGAGAGGTCTATTGTGTTCTTGACTTCCTGGGCAGGGCAGGGTAAGGCGGTTGGCAAACAGGCCAGGCTTTTGGAGTGGGTGACATTTTATCCATCACAGTCAGTGCTTAGCGGCTTTGTGTCTCTCAGACAGCCTTGTCCGCCTTGTCTTCTGTTCATCCTTGTCATTACTTGGGGGTGCCTTTAGGCCCCTTTTAGGATCCGGGCCTGTCTCTCAGAGTGGATGATTGCGGGCTGCAAAGCTGGTCGTGTGGAAGACGTCTCCATCCTGGGACTGCCCACGCCATTTCTTCCTTATACCCTTTCACCCACATCCACCAAGCACAGTGGAAAGAGGAACAGGAGAGAGTTACTAGGATCACTCTCTCCTTTAAAAGTAAAGGGATGCATAAACAAGTCACTGGAGTGGCCCTTTCTCATTAGCCTCATGCTTAGGCACAATATTCCGCTGAACTGATTGCCGCCACCTAGGTACGAACGCTTAGGCTTGGTGTGCTGGGAATCAGCGTACTCCAGTTACTCCAAATGGCAGTCGATGAGGTCCCTAAATAGGGACTTCCAGCAATAACCACTGACTTGGAATCCTGCAATTAAAGACTTTTGGTTTTTCGAGACAGAGTTTCTCTGTGTAGCTTTGTGCCTTTCCTGGAACTCGCTTTGGACACCAGACTGGCCTCGAACTCACAGAGGTCCACCTGGCTTTGCCTCCCGAGTGCTGGGAGTGCTGGGATTACAGGCGTGGGCCACCACCGCCCGGCAAGACTTTTTTTTTTTTAAGTGTCAAGGCAAAGCTCCATTCGAGTCTTAATGAGATGGCATTGCCAAGAGAAGACCAGGCCCACTGTCTCAGCCTCTCAAAGACTGTTGATTCCCTGAGCCTGTGTGTTCAAGGGCAAAAACAAACCCTTTCTCTACCCCCCACATCTAAATTCCTGGCTCGTCTTAGACTCTTGCTTTGGTGGCTTGAGCTAAGGGATACAACAGTCAGGTTGTTTAAAAAAAATTGGGGGGGGGCGGGGTCTGGTAGGATAGTTGGTTCTCCCAGCACCTCATCTGTAACCACTCTGATTCTTTTGGATTCAGTTTCATCCACAGAGGGAGATGTGGGAGGCAGCATTGTGGGACCGGAGTTTCTGTCGGCCACAAGTGGTTTTCTTGCTGGGAAGGACCTGGCTGATATGGTACAACACAGGAGACTTAGAAAACTGCACAACCCCAGCTGCAGAGCAGTGCACCGCGTGGTGCCTGACAGAAAGGAAATGTGTTAGTTTCAGCAGCTGGATTGGGGGTGGCTTAAGTCAACTAGAGGTTACCAGTGTGCACTTGCCTGGGTAACCTGTGGTCACACCAAACGGAGGGAAAGACCGAGAAGGACTCTGCAGATGGGACGTGCAGGGAATGGATGTTGGCTCCACGTGGGCCAGTTGAGTAACCAGGGACTACTTACTGAATCTTTCTTTTAGTTTTTCCTTTTGAGACAAAGTCTCACTATGTAGCCCAGGCTGGTCCTTGAACACACAGCCCTTGTTTCAGACTCCCATTTGCTGGGATCATAAGAATGCATCACTACACCTGGCTCTGTTAATTTTTCTTTCTTTTGAGGGGAGGGGTTCCTCTTGTAGCCCAGGCTGGCCTCAAACTCACTGTCAAGCTGAGAATGACCTTGAACTCCTGATCCTCCTGCTTCCATGTCCTGAGTGCTGGCGTCACACCTGGTTTATGCAGTGCTATGATCAAACCAGGGTTTCTTGCATGTTAGGCAGATGCTCTTCCAACTAGTTTTATCTCCAGCCTGTAATATTTATTTATTCATGTTTCCTTGTCTGTTGGCACGGATAATAATGACCAAGGTATTTAGAAAGACTATAAAAATTTCCAAGAAAAAAGTCCTCATATGTCCATATTTTATCAGAAGTTTCTGTCTCACAAGCCACTCCCAAGTAACCACATAGAAAATTAATTATAAATGCTCCACCAATAGCTCAGGCCTGTTACTAGAGAACTCTTGCATTTACATTAACCCATATTTCTTATCTATGTTTTGCCACGTGGCTTGGTACCTTTTCTCAGTACAGCATGTCCATTTTGCTTTTCCTGCATCTGCTGGTGACTCCAGACTCCACCCTTCTTCCTCCAAGCATTCTCAGTCTGGCTCTCCTGCCTAACCTCATCCTGTTCAGCTATTGGCCAGTCAGCTTCTTTATTAAGTCAATCAGTGACATATATTCATACAGTGTAAAGGAATATTCCACACCATATAGTCAGTGTTTAATGATAACAATTTTGTTTTTATTAGAAGCCACACAGTGAAACTTCATGAGATTAGGAATTAGACACCTTACGTTCAGATCTGAAATGTGACACTCTCCAGCTTTTAACCTTGGGCAAGTCACTTAACTTCTCTAAGCCTCAATTTCATTTCTTGTGAAAGTGGAGATGGGAAACGTGAGCCATCTTGGGCACCCAGTTGTATTTCCATGAAGCTTGTGAAGTATAAGCTTTGGGTCCTTTGCTTGCACAGGTCCTTCCAAAGCCCTGTGTTTAATTTTGTGTCCAATTTTTTTTCCTTCCTAGGAAGGGCCCTTTGAATTGCAGAAGCTTCAGGGCCCATAAAACCCGACCCTGTAGACTAAGCATAGAGCACTTGGGTATCACATAAGGACTAGGTGATCAATATGTGGCAGCCATCATTGCTTCCAATAGTATTTCTATGGGATGGTTCATTTGTAAGTTGACTTTAATAGAGTCACTCGGATACCACCAATTCTTACTATTTTCCTTGGAAGATTGTCCATTCCCCTACTTGTATAATATGAAAAAGAGGAATGGGGCAAAGGTCGAAATTCAAATGCACCAGTTTAGCCAATTGTGGGAAGTTTAGTGAGATAATTGTTATAAATATTGATCTCAAAGATGTGGAGATGACTTCGTAATATAAAGTGCTTGCCAGGTAAGCACAGGGACCTGAATTTAGATCCCCTACCCCCACATGAAAGGCAGGATGGGGTGGCATGTACCTGTAACCCCAGCATTGTGAGGCAGAGAGACAGAGGGTCTCTGGGACTTTTGGTCAACAAGTCTGGCCAATCGGTGAGTTCTAGATTCAGTGAGAGACCCTGTCTCAAACAAACAAACAAACAAACAAACAAACAAACAAATAAAGAGACTTGGCTGAAGAAGACACTCAGCATTGACCTCTAGCATCCACTTGCACATGGACACGTGCACATGTAGTCACATATGTAGCCACATACACCCATATACATACATCAAAAAGAAAGAAAAGAGTTTATCTTGAATGATCATTGTCCTTGAGTTCTAGATTGGCACAGCAGACGGAAGTGGGACTTTTATTTTGGCCAGTAAATATAGTGGATGGAGTGGATATTGGAACTATATATCCCAGTTGCCTGCTACTTGGTATGAGCAAAATTTAGACATAAGTGTTGGTTGGAAGTAATCAAGTTTATTCAAAGCCAGCCATGAAGAAATTAGTAGGACCAGCTTCTCAATGTCTTGGGGGCTTTTATGGGAGTTGGAGGGGATGGAAGATGGAGGGAAGGGAAGATGGAGGGAAGGGAAGAAGATGGAGGGGATGGAAGATGGAGGACATGGAAGCTGGAGGGGATGGAAGATGGAGGGGATAGACGATGGAGGAGATGGAAGATGATGGAGGGGATGGGTGATGGAGGGGATGGAAGACGGAGGGGAGCCTGCATCTGAGCAGGGCCTTTGAAGGTAGGGCCTGTGTTTTATCCAGAACTTCATGATAGATCTTGAAGTGTGTGTGTGTGTGTGTGTGTGTGTGTGTGTGTGTGTGTGTGTGTGTGTGAGACAAGGTCTCACTATGTAGCCCTGGATGGCTTGTTTCTTTGCTGTGAAGAGACATCATGACCACGGCAGCTCTTATCAAGGAAAACATTTAATTGGGGGTGGCTTACAGTTTCAGAGTTCAGTCCATTATTGTCATGGTGGGAAATATGGCGGCATGCAGGCAGACATGGTGCTGCAGAAGGAGCTGTGAGTTATATACCTTGATCCACCGGCAGCAGGGAGAGATTGTCCCACTGGGCGTGACTTGAGCATATATGAGACCTCAAAGCCCACTTCCACGGTGACACACTTTCTCCAAGTCCACACCTATTCCGACAAGGCCACACCTCCTAATAGTGCCACTCCCTGTGGCCAAGCATTCGAACACATGCATCTGTGCGGACCGTTCCTAGTCAAACCACCACAGCACACCGGTAAGCAGTGTTTCTCCATGGTCTCTGCTTCAGGGTTTGCTCCAGGCTCCTGCCTTGGGTTCTTCCCCCAGCTTCCCTCAGGGATGGACTGTGATGTGGAAATATAAGCCAAACAAATCCATTCCTTTTGGTCAGTGTCTTATCACAGCAACAGAAAAGTAACTAGAACAGAGAGTTCCTTCATCCAAAAGATTGCAGAGGGCTGGAAGGACAAAGGTCAGGGCAATTTCAAAGGAGCTGGTGCTATGGGACCCAGGCATGCTGGGCCCCACTAATGACTGCCTTATCCTGGGAAACCATGTAGTCACTG